CTACTGATAGTTATTATTGCTGAAGTTTTTTAGACGAACATCAGGTAATGAGGTTGAATTTCAGAGCCTGCAAATGGCAAAGTTTTTGGTACTGCGCTGCAAGACACTTCTACGGTTGACTGATGCAGCGCCTGTCATCGTGTTTCCTTTCCGCTGCTTCTCCGTAGATGTGTACCCTGCCGAAGACCGTGATTTCTCGGAAAGCAACCATTTTCGTAACTACATAAGGCGACTGAATGACGTGTTGGAGCTGGACATAAAACGCCAGCGTATTAGCAGATCGGATTTGTTCAGGAAAACCTTTAGGGAAGTCATGCTGAGACTTGATCAGGCGAAGAAGGAGGGATACAGTCATACGCAAATGGGATTAAACGAAGTGATTTCATCGTTGGCCAGTTTGATGGTGTCTAAAAGCTTAAAACCGGAAGAGATACTGCATATCGTCCATTTGGTGGTGTATAACCTACCTCCATTTACCCGGTCCACAGCTGCGTTTGCTTGCCTCGGTGGCGAAGTGTTGAAGGTGATGAGCAAGTGTGACTTTTCAGAGGCGCCCGTCCATGTCGTCTACGAGTGGATCAATCTAATGATCATCTTTGACATTATGAACCGGGGGGCGACCGGCCAACTGCTCTATCGGTCGTTGGTTCAGCGCGTGGCGTCGTTCTCTGATGTCGAATTCGTCGTGCTTATGAGTCGCTTCTGGCAACAAAAGGTGTTTCCCAAAACGCTGCAGCCGTTGGTCGAGACGGAGATCGTTAAGCGTTTCTACCGCTTTTCGTTGATGGATATTGCGCTTATCTCCCTTGCTTACTTCCGCACACTGCAGAAGATCGCCAACACGGACATCATCAGTCAGATCGCCAGTCGCTTATTCGAAAGCCTGGACGAGCAGCGCGCAGACAGCGTCGTTGTCACCGCAATTTTCAAGGAGCTGAGGTTCGTCGAGAGCAGTGAGTTGCTTAGGCACGTACCCCGCATCATTCGTCGCTTCGCTAATCTGCCCCTCGACACGTTCACCATACAGACATGGGTGCATGCCGCGCTGTTTTGCACCAGGACTTGTTTTTTCGAGGAATCGTTCGCCAAGGGACTTTGCACTAAGGTTGCTTCGAACATTCATGCAGTGCGGTCTAAAGACGCCTCCTTCGTTCTCCACTACCTCGCAATGTTCGACTACGACCAACCATTGAGCAACGCTAACGACTCAGACTCGGAAGCTACCGTCTTCCGCTTTTTGCTCAACCACTTCGACACGGGACAGTTCCGCATGGAAATCGAGGATTTTCCTGAAGTGCTCACGAGCGCTTTGCGGTGCGCCGCCATTCGTAACCTCTACCCACGTGCCTTACTGTCGTTGGTGTTCTCCGAGAAGTATTTCAGAAGATATAGAGGTAAGGCATGTTACCGTGTGCCATGATTCAGTCATTGTGTAATGATCCACTTAGATTATCAAACTGCTTATCACATTTTTAGCCACGTTCCTCTCTTACCGTAATCATATGTCGAGACGGTAAAAAAACTTTTTAACCGTCGGAACATCGGTCTTCCTAGAAGTTTCGTGATGGGTCTTTTTTGAGTCCTTCTTCTCATGAAGTTAATGGCTCAGTGTTGATCTCCGTTTCTTTTATATCAGCTTTGAGTGCCTTCTTTTTAAGGCAGAGTCTGCAGCCATGTGCAGACATAGCGTGTAATCTCCTGTTTCCTTCCCACAGAATAGTACTCATTTTCCAAACTCGGAAAAAAGAAGGGCGAGTGACCCTGATCGGAACTTGAATTAACGGCCTCTCGGTTTATAGTTTTACGTTCTGCCTACCGACCAACCAACCTTTGAATGGAGGGGGATCAGTGTAAGGAAGCGTTCATTCAATATTCTGTTGCTGTTTGTTTATGTTTTTAACCAGAGCTACCAGCAAGAGAGGGAGCTATGGCCGGAGCTAGAAGTAAATCTGTAAGGAAGATCGGTTAGATAGCCAGAAAGGATGACTGAAGAAAAATGTTTCAAAGAGTGCGACACTTGTCTCAAGCGGAGGCTCCATCCATACTCATTCGCGACGTTAAAGACACATCACTCTCAGATCAGGCGGCATATTTCGAAGGATTGGTTGAGCATTTACAACAACGTCCGATTCGTCCCTTCTGGCGATTAATCATTTGTCAGCACTCGAGCTTAGTGCGGATCTACTCACAATACTAGAAGTCTAAAACGCCATATTAAACCTGAAAGTGACGAAGGTATGTTGTGTAGATCAAGTTCCTCTGGAGTTAATCAGATTTTGATAGGAAGACTATTGTTACAAAGTCTCGCACTTCCTTTGATTAGATCTTGGCTTCCAAATGTAAATGTGGATCGTTCGGCTTATATCTAGATGGTACAGGATCGACGCTCCATCTTTCGTGATATGCTTTGTTGATCTCTTGGATTGGATGATGGATAACTACGAATCTAAAGTCAGAGCATCAAAACTTATGTATGAATTTCGATGCGAGGCGAAGGAGTGTTCTAAACACTTGCTATCGGTCATCTTCAAAGCTTGCACTCATTTTGTTTCATACTAAATGAGCATGATGCGTTTTGTACATAGTTGATGCTCTTGTTTCGTTTAGAAGCGCAACGACATTTCTTTCCCGACCTCGACTTGTTCTTCGTCGACGGTTCGTGCGCCATCGACCAACCGGACCACTTGATACCGCGACTGGACTACACGATGTTGTTGGAGTTTCGGCACTCGAAGTACGAAATGATGAGACCTCTAAAAGACGGGCATGAGCCTCTGCTTAAATATTGTTCACTCTTTCAGGAAGAGCAAGTTACCGAATTTCTCGACCGATGGAAAACGAATCGCAGCTTTTCAAAATCTGTCTGCGGCCCTCGTTGCCAAATTCAACTGTGCTCCGTCAGCCATTTACTGTGGGCAGGTGTTGCCACACATTTTTTCTTCAGGTAAATTTCACGTGTACTCCGTTGCAACCTCAGGCGAACTTTACCTCCCCTGTCGTTCACTTCAGCTTACTGTTTCCTTGAGCATTTTCCGCTTTTTCTTCCTGTGATCTATTCCAAACACATTTTTCCCTTCGAACTCACTACGATTGGAACGTACAACAGTTTATTTGTTTCTTCTGCAGATTTTCCAGTCATCTTGTTCACTTAAGGATCGGAAGCGATGTTGTTTTTCACTTTGTAACTTCCAGTAAGCAGTTGCAGTTTCCTTGTTCTCTTTTGTACACGGAGTAGGTCAAATATTATGTAAAAATTTTGTCATTCTTTCTTTAGGATTAATACATATGATTCTGAATCCTTCCGTCAGGATTTGTTGCAGTGACATGTACTTACACACATGCCCTTTACCTACCCGTGCGATAAAACAGCAATTTAATTTTACAAAACGAAATACAGAGGTATATCAGATGATTGACCAAGCCGATTTTCTACTCATATCTCAGAGGCCTCGATCAAGATAAAAGATGTGTTGGTTGTTGTTCATGCTCATAGCCGGAAGCAAACCTTTTGTTGCAGAACATTGCAAAAAGCAACTTAAATCTTCGAAACTTTTACCTTGAATAAGGTCCTTGCACATCGGCCGAAACGTCAGAATCGGCCAGTCACATGGACCGCTGTATTGTGTTATGTATAATTAAACCATTCTCTGTTCTGTTTTTCAGTGACTGCGAACGCATGCACCGGAACCCAGCTAATCCATCCAAGTGGAACACGGAGATGAGCCGTTTCAAGAGGAAGGAAGAAAGTATAGCCGTTTGGAATGTCGATTTTCCTTACACTTGCATGACGGGTTATGTTGGCGTCTTTCTTTTCATTAAGTTAATGATGGGCTGCTGACCGTCATTTCCATCTCTTCGACCATGACTGTCTTATTGTTAAGGCAGAGTCGGTAGCAGCTGTGGGACAGGCACATAGTGTGTAGTCTCCTGTTCTTTTTTCCATAGAGCGGAGTTCATTTATCTTCGTCAGGACGAAGAGATGCTAATGACCCTGACCAGCCTCGAAAATCCGGAACTTCAAGATTCTGAATCCGATGCTCTGCCGCCTGAGCAACGCTAGTCTGAAACAACTCGTTGTAACTTTGTTGTTCGAGGAAATTCGTTATTAACAGAAAGATTGCCGTCCGCCAGGGTTCGAAGCGGACCTCTTACATACTGTGCCACTACTCTTGGCATTTCAGGAGGTTGACCAATTTGTCTTGGTTCCATCCTCGTCAACGATTGCACTGTAAAGCCGGAGGTGATAAAAGTTTCGCCGTAGCCTCAATCGCTTTTTAAAGCTTAGCGTATTTGGGCTGAGAAAACAGTCAAGGACTCTTTCCACAAAAGCGCGCCTGTATATGACCTGCGTCAGAGATTAATGTTGTTGTATGACGTGAAGACTGTTCTAGTGAACGACAGTTGAACTGCATGAAGTACCGTTAGCTTGTACGTATATTAAGAGTTAAATAGCAGGGCCGTACAAGGAATGACTCTTTTGTTCCAGTCACAGCTGACCTCATTAAATGTAGAGATTAACATGAGGTCGGCCCTGTTAGGCAAATTGGTTTATGATACACCATTACACGCGAATGCCTCCAGAAAGGAAGGCTAAG